GACCCCTCCGACAGGCCACGCAGAGAATGCCCGATTTCCTGACAACCAGACGGAGACTTTCCGTTCTGAAGGCTGGAAGCGGTTCCGTGTCGAGCAGAATCACACGGAAGGCGTCGACAGTACCACCGAGGTCCCAACCGTCCCACCACATGCTGGCGACGAAGAGAGAGAAGTGACCCACGACTGGGGCTACACAACCGGAGGAAACCACTGCAGTAACGTCAGAGTTCGCCGCCGCGTTTCCAAAGCCCCCCGCCACGACTCGGAAACCTACCCGGCGACAGACGACAGCTCCGCCGCTAACATGTCTCATCTGGAGCCCAAACCAGGCTTCCCAATTGACCAGAAAGTCAGCGGCGACGTCGACAGAAAGAGAGCCACTGCTATGGACACTGTGCACGCAAAGAACTCCACGGACTTGAATCTGTACTTGGATGCCGTGCTGACAGAGAACATTATGAATATGAAGAGCCGCAAGAGAAAGCATCACCATCGCCGTGTGCTGAAACGTATCAAACGGCACAAACGGAGCAAAGCCATCATCGTGCTGGCCGCAGTTGGTGTGCTGATCGCTGGTTCTATGGCGCACGTCTGCTTGGGACGAATTGTACCGTGAAATGAGCCTTTATATACTTATTTGCTGCAAGCTATGCTTACCTGAGTTCTGATATACTACTGGTAAAATGATACCCCTCCCGGGATAACTAAACGCACTGTACCTGGATACTAGGATACTTTATTTCTCAACTAGCTTCATATACATTTACACTGTGTTTATTTTATCCCTAAAATATATGGAACGTACCCATGACCTGACCTTAGTTAAAACTCATGTTTCTTGCGTAATAAAAGCTGGCATTTTGTTTACATATTGTATGGACAGGTCCTATAGACCTACACTGTGATTTTATGCAGCACCCGTTTCTACGAATAAGAAAACAGTATTGTCTCATTTGTTGTCAGTGTCATGTTCAGCACCAAGGACAGGTATGCTTGTTTGTGTATAGATTGTGTTCAGTTCCAGTGTGTGGATTGTGTTCAGTATGCTTGCTTATGTGTAGATTGTGTTCAGTGCCAATGAAAGGTACACTGGCTTGTTTCTTCTGTTGCTAAGTTTGAATGCTATTCTTCTGGGGAATCAACCGCAGCTCAAAAGATGCGCGGCAGGACCACAAGCTGTTGGAGTCGGCATCGCACTGCAGGTAGACAGCAAGCCTCTTGTTCTGGTGTGCCTGGGCATTGGGGTCATGATACGGACTGGCCGTTATTTTCCATGGCAGATTGCGGATGAAGGCTGCAGGACTGTGTTCACTTGTAATTACCTTGCTCAAGTTATTCACTGTGAAACGGAAGGTCGCCTCAGCTTGCAAGTTGTCTTCCCTGTTCTTTTTCTCTTCTTGGATTTCTTCATTGCAAAGCTGGAATGAACATGTCCCTTTTCACCAAGACGGGCGTCTGCTTTTACACAGGCCTCCAGTATGATCTTGTCATCCTTGATGTATCTCTTCTGATGTTGAGCCACTTGATTCAAAGGTTATGTGCAGTGTATAATTATTTATGTCTCTACCCGTGCAATAATGAAGACTATAAACTTTGTCTTGTCATTTGTGAGCCAAAGAAAATACTTCATTGCCTTATAGAAAACGCTTGCTGTTTTCATTACACTGATATTTGTCCAAAACTGATGTGCTTTTACCAAGATGTTTTGTATATGTTCTCTGAATTTAATAAACTAAAGGCCCTTACATGTTTTCCCGTGAAATTCTCAATTTTGGTTACTATGTCATTAACCGAGGAGACAGAGAAAGAGAGAGAAAGAGAGAGAAAGAGAGACGGCTCATAACCGGCACATTGTGGACGCGTGTATCACGGTTGAAGCTGTTGTTGAATATCTGATTGCAGCCTTCCAGCGACCATCGACAATGAGCAATTATCAGTCAGAGTAGATTCATAACGAACCATCATTTCTAAACGTATATATGTTTTCAGTGCAGCCACTGTCAAATCTCTCACCAGCGTTTCTAGCACGGGCGACCACATTACTGCTGTGGGGGTGAGAGAAAAAAACTGATTTTTTTTCGCCTAGGTTTCTTCTCCTCTTGTCCAGTGATTCTTAAAGCTACTAATTTTCATTCCAAAAGCCTTTTCATTATTGTATTTTGGTCGGAACTTTGCATATAAGTAGGGATGTCACACTAAGGCGCCAAGGATTCTTAAAAATAATTCCCTATAACAGAGTAGATTCTTCCGGTCAGAATTCTTCCTTTCGCATAAAATGCTGAGATTTTCTAGAATTTTTCAAAGTCTAAAATTTGACGGTTTCATCAGAAGATGCTTAAGTATTGCAATTGGTTCTATGGGAATAAGCTAATTAGTCATGGCACCAAAAGAGACCGTAAATCAACAATATTTGACATACATTTTATTATAACTCTTAAACTTTCCATGCTACAATCTTCAAATTTTCAGGATCTTAGGATCAAACAGTTTTCCACAAAGGTCTTTAATTACATGTTTTTGTGTACAAAAGTTAACACGTTGTTGCTAATTACGCTAATGAGTATATTTGTACATCTAACCATAGTCGGTGTAACGCAAACTCTGCCGTCCGCGGCTTTAGTGGCCCCTCCCCGCAGAGTTTGTGCGCCTCTCTCTCTAGCTAGCCTGATTAAATCGCTTCACGGTTGCAGCCCAACATCCAGCTGGCCCCCGAGGGACCACTATGGCTAGATGTACTCATTAGCGCACTCACTGGACAAGAGGAGAAGAAACCTAGGCGAAAAAAAATCTGTTTTTTTTTCTCTCACCCCCACGACAGTAATGTGGTCGCCCGTGCTAGAAACTCTGGTGAGAGATTTGACAGTGGCTGTACTGAAAACATATATACCACCATATAAACACCACTTTTTGTGAACAATATATGTTTTCATATGATAGGGGTTTTGGAAACACCACTTTTTGTGAACAATATATGTTTTGGAATTATACGTATTTAAGATATATATATTGTTTTGAAAAGTATATATATGTATTTTCTTCTTAAGCATATATGTTTTACAATTGTATGTATTTATTATACATATATTGTTTTGAAAAGTATATATATGTATTCTTAAACATATATGTTTTACAATTATATTGTATGCATTTTAAATATATATATCGTATTTTTGACAGTGTTCCTGCTTCATAGACATCTTCGAGCGCATCGCCGCCGAGGCTTCCCGCCTGGCTCACTACAACAAGCGCTCCACCATCAGTAGCCGCGAGATTCAGACCGCCGTCAGACTCCTGCTGCCTGGCGAGCTGGCCAAGCACGCCGTCAGCGAGGGCACCAAGGCCGTCACCAAGTACACCAGCTCCAAGTAGATCCACCGACGCTGCTACACACAACCCCGGCCTTTTTCAAGGCCACCCACATCCCCACAAAAGAGCTGTTTCAATCGCACAACACACTCACACAATATATACCTAGTACCTGTACACGCCAACCAGTAACCTGCAGCCGCAGCTACAAAACAATCCACCCACAAGGAAATAACATCAACAAAAAAGAAAACAAATCAAGTTTATTCTGACGTAATAATTTGAACGCGTTCTTTCCTGTCGAACAAGGCCTACAATTGTGAGGCAAATTGGAATGGTCCAGAAAAACCCGTTGTTTGGAATGGCGGTGGAGGGGTGGAACTTCAGGCAGATATGGCGAGTACCACGGCAGTAACACTCGCGGTGCTGGCCGCAACTGTTGCTGGAATTTGCCAGTCGCGCTTAATAAGTAACAGGCACGGTAAGACGGTGGGGCTGTCTTTGTTACTAGTGACACGACCATGATAGTCCGATCTTCATGTAACCATTGGCCGCCGTGGGGTAAACGTTGGATACAGGCGGCCAATGGAAACAGCCGGTCCCCTTGCCCCACCAAATCTGCTTAGAGATTAAGGTGACGGTGGGCTGACTAAAAAATGTCCACAGACGCCCATCAATACCCCTCAATACCGAGTATCGCTAACAAAGAAATGCGTTGGAAACTTTGAAGTTGTTGAAGTTGTTAGTTTATTCCAGTGATTGAAGGTACGTACATCACAAAAGTGTGAGTCTCTCTTGGCCACAGCCAAACAAAGACGGCTCAAGAGAGGACTCCCTCCCCTGGACACAACCAGGCGGAGACTAACTCTAGAATACTTGTCTCTCCCTGACCACAACTCTGTTCTAATCCTTGCTCTACTTTCAGGGAACTTGTTACCTATTATTGAATGAATGAACTTCTTATTACTGAACTTGATATTGTCTCTAAATCTATGTCAAGTAGCCTGGAAAAAGGGACTATCACCATATTTAGTTAAACTTCTGTGTTTACTTCAGGTAACCTAAAGAAGACGTGCAACCTTACGTTCCACCTATCAACCCCTAATTTCCTATAGTGTCCTTGAAATTTCTTGGATGTTGGTTGACCTTGTACTCTAGATGGGCTGCTCTTGTCCTTCTCAGTGTTAACATTATATGATTAAATAGATATTAATTATTAAATCTTATATTATATTATATTTATTATTATTATTATACTTATTATATTTCCCCAAGTTTTTCATATCTCAACCAACAACAAAAGACTATATTATTGCTAAAGTCTCCCAACCCATTTATTTTTCAAAGAGTCGGACAATTCATCCCCCACTGCCTCCTGAGAAGAAGTCAAACCCCCTAATAGCATGGCAAGAATAGTTTAATAGAATAGCATAGAATAGAATAGATTAGAATAGCAGTTACTTTGTTCCTATTACCTGGTCACATATTGTATATCTACTTTTTACCCTGTATGTATTCCAACGTTATTAGGTTTAAGTAGAGATAGTAGGTTCGATAATTATATCGTACACGTAGAAGTTTATGTTAGCAAATAGTCTTATAAGTTATATCAGCACATTTTTCTTGTTAATGTCTGTATACAATTAGCCCTCGGGCATGAATTTGCAATAAACATCTCAACATAAAATCAACCGTTACTATAGTTACTTCATCTACTCCGTGACAGCTGCCATCACTTTATGTTCACGTCATCCGAGCGGTCATGGCGGACTTTCTTCAGCAGCCAACAGAGCTGGTGTTTGTTATTCTTGTGCTGCAGAAACAAACACAATTCTTGCTTAGGCCACACCAAGTAAATTTTTATGGATGATGTCCTTCGGAGACCCTGAATCTAATGCGAGAGGGCGAAAAAAAAACAAGAAGGGCCCTAAAAACCAAGATGCCTAGATTAATATACTAAGACACGACAAATGTTAGGACACAAATTGAATGAGGTGACACAGTGTAACAAGCAAGAAGTCTTTTATTCATCATCAAAACAGCAATAAATCAGATGGAACAGTGGACAGTGAAAAATTTTCTGTTATTGACAGGATGGTCTTGTCAATAGACACTTTATTCGCGTTACGGGTTTCACATCAATCTGGTGAATTGCGGCACTGTCGTGACTCTTTGGTTGTAGTTACAGGAAGCGGAATTTCGCGTTTTTTTTCTTCTAGGAACAGGCCAAAATCAATGCGCGCGCGGACGTCATCCATAAAATTTACTTGGTGTGGCCTTACATTAAAAAATAACAATGTTGCACCCTTTCTGAATACGAAATTTCAAAGCTGAGCCAATTTCTTTCCAAACCTCTGCCCATCCTGGAACAGACATTGGGAGCATGTTTGAACTGCTTCCCAGAGCCCCACTGAGTTCCCGTATGGCTTACTCGTGGTATAACTTACTCATACTTTTATTTTTCAGTAATTTTTTAAAGACTAGTGGCCTCTGGCTAGCTGCTATATTAGCCTCTACCAGGCTCCGCGGATCGCTGGAAAAATAAAGGGATAGTATACCAGAGAAGATCCAGCCGGCCGTAGAAGCTCCAATTTGCGACCCACGGATTGGAGCCTCTATGGCCCTGGATCTTCCCTGATATACTATCCCTTTATTTCGGCCAATTTCTACTATTTTTCCAGCGATCCGCGGTGCCTGGTAGAGGCTACTGCTATATAAGACTAATGCCAAATTGGATCGAACGTTTACGCTAACAGCTCCGATATAGATAATGGGTTATAAATGTTGGCATACCTTAATGTACGTCTTTACGGCCCGTCCAGCGAACTGCTCCTGGTAAACATATCGGCCGTCCTGCGCCACAGCATAAAATATGGCGCTGTAGTCCGCCGGGCTGCGGTAGAAGGTCGGGTTGAAGGAACCGTCCTTAACCTTATTCCCTGTTACAACGACAGTGACATACTAGTTACAACCACAGTGACATATAATTATAATGTCTAGTTACAACCACGGTGACATATCATTATAACGTCTAGTTACAACCACGGTGACATCATTATAACGTCTAGATACAACCACGGTGACATATCATTATAATGTCTAGTTACAACCACGGTGACATATCATTATAATGTCTAGATGTAAGCACAGTGACACATCATTATAACGTCTAGTTACAACCACGGTGACATATCATTATAATGTCTAGATGTAAGCACAGTGACACATCATTATAACGTCTAGTTACAACCACGGTGACATATCATTATAATGTCTAGATGTAAGCACAGTGACACATCATTATAACGTCTAGTTACAACCACGGTGACATATTATAATGTCTAGATATAAGCACAATGACACATCATTATAACGTCTAGTTACAACCACGGTGACATATCATTATAACGTCTAGTTACAACCACGGTGACATATCATTACAACGTCTAGATACAACCACAGTGACATGTCCTTACGCGTCTAGTTACAACCACTATGGCATCATTATAATTATGAAGCAAGTTTGGCTTCATAATGATTTCTACCAACACAGATGAAGTTTCATGATGACATCATTATTACCTCTAGTTATCAACACAGTGACATCAATACAACGTCTCACTCTAGTTACAACCACCGTGACATCTCATTACAACGCCTAGGTACAACCACTGTGATATCATAACAGCGTCTACAACCGCAGAGACATATCGTTACAGCTAGCGTCTAGTTATGTTTACCGAAGGAAAACATATTGTTTTTGCTCAGTTTCTTCTTCTTCTCCAAACAGTGACCTCTGACCTGGGCAATGACCTGATTTGTTGACATCTGTCACCATGGTAACTGGTGTTGGGTTACATAATGTTGCAATTTTAAAGTAGGAGGGATTTAGACTCCTGTCACTATATATGTGAATGTGTTTGAGTAAGAATGAGTAAGAATTAACAGAGCAGACCATATGCAAAGGTAAACATTATGCATTTGCTTTGCCAATGTTACTTTTCTAGTTACAACCAGTGACCCTTCACGATATCTGCTTCAATATTAGGAGATAACCTACCGGACTTCTCGAAGCAGGATTCTCGGAAGAAAAAGTAGCCACCATCAGTCAGCCAAGACAGAGCCTTGGCGGCAAGTGCAGAGACCTCTTCGTCCGCCAGGTACTGCATCAACCAGTTGGAGAACACTACGTCCACGCTAGGGGGACACATGAACAGACTTGGTAGGACTGGGTGTCAGTAATCTCCAAGCACATCTCTTTTGGTGGCAAGACAGTATCCACTGGTCGGTGGCTGATGGACACTTCTGGCGAATGGATACTGCCTTGCCACCCAAACAGATCTGCTTGGAGATAAGGTTTCAGATTATAGGCAGCCAACAAACCATAAGGAAGGAAGAAAGGAAGGAAGGAAGGAAGGAAGGAAGGAAGGAAGGAAGGAAAGCTTAAGGAAGGAAGGAAGGAAGAATGGAAGGAAGGAAGGAAGGAAAGGAAGGAAGGAAGGAAGAATGGAAGGAAGGAAGGAAGGAACGGGATGGGGGAGGTAGGTAGGTAATAGGAAAGAAAGAAAGAAAGAAAGAAAGAAAGAAAGAAAGAATGAAAGAAGGAACACTGATCATAATGATTACATTGTAGACACAGAAGAAAGACTGAATATGCAACATTACCATTAGATCTAGAAATGGCAAGTTTCCAATTACATGTGACATCACAGCTCGTCTTTGGCCCATCAACATGGCGGACGCTAAATCGCGTCATAGTCACGTGACTGCAAATACACTACAACAGGGAATACTTGAGCACGTCGGCAGAACGTACTGCGCCTGCGCAGAACCCCGTATTTTTGCGTTTTTCGTTGGGTTTTTGGTCAACTTTGCATCAGAATTTTAGCTGTTGCAGAGGATGTTCTTTCCGACACAACATTTGGAAACTACTGTCGAAATGCTAACCTTATATGAGCGAATACAACCTTATATGAGACATTCTGCCGAACTGCTATGTACAATACATTACGGGTTTCGCGCAGGTGCAGTACGTTCTGCCGACGTGCTGAATACTTGTGTGTAGAACGATTTCTGCATTACTAGTGTTCTTTCTGCGATAAATCAGGGTTCAAAATAACCACTGTCGCACTTTCGCCGGGCGAGTCATGTGTTTTCTGTACGCATTAAGTTATTAGACACGCCGGCCTGCCCAGTGCGCAAGTTATCTTTTTGGGGGTATACAAAAAGAGCTTTGTATTAATGTTTACAGGGGTCCCGGTCCGGCTTACGGCTTCTGAAATAGACTAACCTGCCTCGGCCAGCATGTGATCGATATTTTTCGGTGTGGCTTGGAATATGGCTTGTGGGGTCGTGTGGCGCAGCGGCAGCGTTCTCGACTCGGAACCAGAGGCCCCGGGTTCGAGTCCTGACATGCCACCGATCTTGTGCCCTTGGGAAATGCACTTTACACGACTTTCCTCACTTCGCTCAGGTGTAAATGAGTATTGCACTGTCCCTGTGTTGGTGGCGGCATTAATATAAGTTGAAAAAACTTGAGTGTGCCGTCACCACATCTTGTGATTGCATGTTTCGGAATAAAAAAAAAATGGCTTGCCTTCTAAACTAAACAGCGGCGTTGATATTCATGAGCAACCTTAAGCTTGCTTTTGGCTTAGGTTGCCCACCGTTCAACCTGTGAATAAAAAGCATTTCGAACCCTGTAAATCAATTGAAGGCTAAGGTTTATCCAGTTAGGCCACACCAAGTAAATTTTATGGATGACGTCCGCGCGCGCATTGATTTTGGCCTGTTCCTAGAAAAAACAAACAAGAAATTCCGCGTCCTGTAACTATGACCAAAGAGTCACGGCAGTGCTGCAAATCACCAGATTGATGTCAAACCCGTAACGCGAAGAAAGTGTCTATATTGATATATATTGAAAGTGTATATCAATAACAGAAAATTTGCACTATTGACAGGACCATCCTGTCAATAACAGAAATTTTTTTCACTGCCCACTGTTCCACCTGCTTTATTGCTGTTTTGATGATGAATAAAAGACTTCTTGCTTGTTACACTGTGTCACCTCATTCAAGTTGTGTCCTAACATTTGTCGTCTCCTAGTATATTTCTAATCTAGGCATCTTGTTTTTTAGGGCCCTTCTTGTTTTTTTTTTCGCCCTCTCGCATTAGATTTAGGGTCTCCAAAGGACGTCATCCATAAAATTTACTTGGCGTGGCCTTACCTTTCCGGTGGCAGATCCAGACGTGTGACGTCAGCCTGCAGGAAGACTATATTACCCAGATGCCTGTTCGTCTCCTCGTTTTTCTTGATGAAGGCTTCCACGAAGTCTACGGCCGTCACGTGATCGGCTTGTCCCGCAACACTCGGAGTAAAACGACTTGGGGATAGAATATTTCTGATTTTATTCTTGATTGAGTTAGTCAAGAAGTTTCCAATAAAAAAAACAAGAGCCTGTCTGGCGCCAAAAGATGTCAGAACACGACAAAACTGTAAATAATGCTGCAGTACTATAAAAAGTCGACAGATAGGGGCAAATTCTGTCGACATCTACCGATATCAAGCTTAGTATCATCAAGGTCCATTCACAAAGTTCTTCGTTCAGAAACACACACAAAGACACGAAAACATTATCATCTCGGCGAATGTGTAACACCGAGGTTTCAATTGCTCCTACCAACTGACAACTCACGCGTTTATTAAACGGGTCCTTGGCCTTTTGGCCAAGCGGTTATGGCATTGGGGTCGCAAGCTAGCGGTCAGGGTTCAATTCCCGGGGGCCAGGAACTCTTTCTACTCTTCATGTGTGTCTCAACTCGCCACTTAGTGGTTTTAGTGGTGGCCCTGTCAGTAATGGCCATGGGGTAATCATATGGAAGACGAAGACACACCGGAGGCGGGCTCGCAGAAAGAGAACCCTGTAGTGGGGCAGATAACTGAAATAATCTTTCAAATTGTGATACAAGCACCAAACTTAGTACAAATACTCATGAGACATTACTCTTTTGAAAAAGTACGCGGGCCACTTGATTTGACTTTTGGTGTCCCCTAGCGGCGCTTTTTGGTACTGCAGCTGACTTTCCGGGCTTTGTATCTCCTGTTTTAAACATGCTACAGTCATGATTTTCATGTGGTAAAAAGCTGTTATTGTTAGGAAAAAGTGACGTAAATTTGGTGTCTCTAGCTGCCTGCGTTAGAACTGCAGAGGCGTTTTTTGCCGGTGCACAATTTGCTTTAAGGGCGCTTTTTTTGCTTCGGAAGGTCGGCTGCAGTACCAAAGAGCGCCCTTGGAGCAAATTTTTGCACCGGCAAAAAACGCCTCTGCAGTTCCAACGCAAGCAGCTAGAGACACCAAATTTACGTCACTTCTTTCCAACTTTAACAGCTTTCTACCACATAAAAATCATGACTGTAGCATGTTTAAAACAGGAGATACAAAGCCCGGAAGGTTGGCTGCAGTACCAAAAAGCGCCGCTAGGGGGCTCCAAAAGTCAAATCAAGTGGCCCGTGTACTTGTTCAAAAGAGTAATGTCTCATGAGTATCTGTACCAAGTTTGGTGCTTGTATCACAAAGTGAAAGATTCCTCCAAAATTTGATGTTATACTACTGGCTCTCAGAAATCGAAGCTAGGCCGCTATAGCATTCTACCCCAACGCCATAAGCGCTAGGCTAAAAGGTCCTGTACGCAGTTAGTAGCACTTGAAACCTCACCGAGACGATAATGTTTTCGGGTCTTTGTGTGTGTTTCTGATCGAAGAACTTTGCGAATGGATCTTTATGATATTTGGACCCGTAAGAACGAACTGACTGTATGAAGCCCTACCCAATGCCAGCCCCGAGCTCCAGCACACGTTTCCCGGAGAGGTCGTGCAGCATGGCGAGTATTTCCGGCCGCTCCTCCTGGTCAAGTTCGTCCGCGTTCTCGTCTCCCATCATCTCCTGCACGGAGCAGTCGTGTGACAATTCCCGCCAAAACTCGACCATATCCTCCCGCACGTCTGCATGGTCGACTGGGGGGGGGGGGGTGCAAAACAGATGTGTCTGTGATCCAATGTAACAGCACAGACTATGGCCATGAGATTTTTGTGTGACACATGAGAGATCCAGTGTAACAGCGCAGACTATGGCCATGAGATTTTTGTGTGACACATGAGAGATCCTGTGTAACAGCACAGACTATGTCCATGAGATTTTTGTGTGACACATGAGAGATCCAGTGTAACAGCACAGACTATGCCCATGAGATTTTTGTGTGACACATGAGAGATCCAGTGTAACAGCACAGACTATGCCCATGAGATTTTTGTGTGACACATGAGAGATCCAGTGTAACAGCACAGACTATGTCCATGATATTTTTGTGTGACACATGAGAGATTCAGTGTAATAGCAGTGTTTAATTGACAATTTGTAAATTCTGTCATCAGGAATTTTGTTATTTCAATGATTGATGTAATGTGCAATTTTGAAATTTTGGCATATTCTATGTGACATTTGGTATGTGACATGACATGCCAGTCCGACTTTATTTTAGATAAACTGATACTGATACAGTCTATGTCCCTAAGAAGACTTATTTGAAATTCTTCCTACACCAGGTGGTGCATAGGGCGGCGCCCATCTCCGGTTCAAAAAACCCTGGGCCACATGTGTGTTGATTGATATTTGCATTATCAATCAACAGGTTGTGCTTATAGACCTGCTTTCCCCTCTGGTCTCTCAGTCACTGACGAAAGCTAGTGGATACTAGCTGAAACGTCTGACGTTTTCAAAATCATATCCAGTTGCTTGAGTAACTGTTTTTTGGCGTGTGTGGGTATATGTCCGGTGAATGACGTAGGTGGACAAGTCTAGACACGACTACAGGGAATTGATGCACGGTGCACGTTCAAAGGGAAACTGGGAAATTATCACTGTTCATGTTAGTTTCGAGAACAAACGCAAACAACTGAATATGAAAATAACCAACAGGAACAAAATAGGTTCTAACAAAGGTTTATTATTATTTCCCACGATGTATTAAAGGCCTCCCAAACTCAGCCGGTAGCCACGTAGCTGAAAACATTGGACTAGAATACGTATAGGAGAAGTACAAGAAGTTTAGGGAGAGGGCGGTCGTACCGATGATACGACAGCGGTGGTAAAAGGGAAGGCCGACAACCACTCTTACTTTGCCTCTCAAAATTGCGTTATTCAAGGCCATGTTGATTTGATTATATGGATGACATCCGCGCGCGCATGTAATTTTCGGCCTATTTACCAAAAAAAAAAAGTTTGCAACCATACTGTAAATCGTGCAAAACAGTTGCTAAATGAGCAAAAATATACCATAAGTTGCAAGGAAAACATTTAGAAACGATACCAATGTCGTAGAATGCCAGAATCAAAGGAAAAAAGACAAAAATGTAAAGAAATGAATTCGAAGAGTAGATTATTCGCCATAACATATTCTGTGCCATTTGTTCAACCTTCATGACCACGTAGATTTCATAGTGAAAGCTAACTTTTTTTTTTGCAAAACTTTTTTTTATTCGCACGCGCACATCAGTTTTGGGGTTCCCAGAGGATGTCATCCATATAATCAAATCAACATGGCCTTATTGATATATAGACAAGAAGGGTAGCATGCAAAGTGGAACATTTAGTATGTTTACTGAGGCATATCTCATACCTTTTT